ATAAAGGAAACAAAATGATGAATTTCGATTCATTGTTAATGACAGTGTGTAAAACTTCAATAAGTGTTCTCTTCAATTCCTCAATGCTTATTTCTTGATCTGAAAGTACCCAGTCTCTAAAAACATACAATCCTTCTGACTTATTTTTCATCCATTTGTTAAATCCATTTGCAGCACTTGCATTTTCACCCAACATCCCGGCTGCCTCTGCTATTTTGGTTTCATCTACTGTTGCGTACGAGGGAATAAATATTATTCTTTTCTTCTTCTCTTTATTTTCTTTTATCTTCTCTACGAGATCTAAAAATAAATTAATGCTACCTTCAAACCAACTTTAAAAGTAACCAAAGAGTCATTCAAACTTTTGGCTCTATAGAGTAACCCTCCAAAAATCATCCCAGTTAATTATAACAGTAGAGAGACCTATTTTTCAACATTAAATCTAATTTTTTAATGCTTGCTAATGTTCACTAGTTACCACAATCATATGCTAATTATTTTACGTCAATGGTATTTGAAGTAGTATGGATTATATATAAAGCTACATGAAGTAGACATTTAATTTCAGTATTTTTATTTTGGTAATTAAAAACAGCATATTATTGATTCATTTCGTACTAATATGTCCTTAAAAATAGAGTTAAATTAATTTATCAAAATAACACTTATTCTGTTAGCCGCCGGGTTTACCAATCAAATCTGCAGCGCAAATGACAAAATTTACATCACAATATTGTCAACCTTGAAACGAGCTCAAAACACATTATAATACCGCATATTTCTAAATTTTATTTTGTAATAATAAATTACTGATCTTTCTACTTATAGTGTCAATTTCTCTTCATATCATGATTAAAGACATGGAATTAATTTCTGAAATTGCAACTGAAGGCTCGCTTCAGTTCAAACTTTTTTTCCCATTTCAACCTAAAATACTTTTGTTGTTTTAAAAGACTAATGTTGGAAATTTATAATGTTTTGGATGAAATTTAGAACAGAGGGTCATTGCACCTTAAAAGAACGATTAAGATTAGAACAAAATCAAAACAAACCATTTATCTGTACATCAAGGCTTGTAGAATCATCTTCAGTTTTCAGACTTGGGTTATTGCTATTGCCTAAAACAAACAGGTCAAGATCTTGCTAAACATACAGGTGGAAAGAACTTTTCTTATATAATTAGGAATTAAACATTTTTGCTATAGATAAAATATTATTGTTGAAAACTTATAATGAATAAATGAAATGTTACCTTATTTTATAAAATCATTACTGTTATCATAATGCATTATGCTTTTCTTGTAACTATCAGTGTTTAATATGCTTTGTTTTGAAATACAAACTTTTTGAAGGATACTATTGATTACTATAGTCACTTCTTGATAGCAATTACAAAAACTAAGGAAATAAAGATAATCTTCTAGATTTCATGTTGCTTCAATTCTCTTGATAGCTTTTTTAAAGTTTACTTTGCTAGCCTGTAGTTATTAAATATATTGAAATGCCTGATGGAAAAACATAATGGTGCATAGGTCCTCCAGTCTTCTCCGACACACATGCATGTATGCCCTCTGCATGCCATACACACAAAAAACAAAAGTCAAATTACCCTAATCTATGTCCATCAGAACCGACACAGAGCATTGCTTAAAGAATAATGGCACGCTTTCCTGACAGATAGAAAATCGATTGTTTTTATTTCTACACGCTGCCCTAAATATTTCCAAAAATGAATTATTTTATTGCATGTAAAACTGAGGATTATCGTTATTAGTAATCATTATAATGTTGACACTACAATGATATTTACGACACTTCAGTATGGATTTCTTATAGTATTTCATTTAAATACATGCACTTTATTATGATGGCATATAATTCACGGTAGGTTGAGAATCAAAGTGTACACGTCCACACAACAAAATATATCATTTACCCTTTTCCCTTACTTTTTAATCTTATCTAGATGTATCAAACATACATTTATCCTCTATATTTTAATGAATACAAGTTATGCTTGCTTGATTTCATTATTTTCATAAAATATTATTGATCCAGTATTATATGTACCTTTTAACATTTTCTCTTCCTCGGATGACTGGTTTTCTGTTTTTTCTCTTCCATTATTAATTCTTTCTCTTAACTCAGTTGATGCTGAAATTTAATGCAAATCAAGTTTCTTTCGCTTTGAACTAAAGGACCAGGCAATATATATCACCAGGATGGGACAGGTGAAAATAATAATAATAATAATAAACAAATGATCCCATACATTACAGAATGAAAAAAGTATTCTTCCAATTCTCATTTCGTCTCAAATTAATATCCATACATATTTTTTTTAAAAATCTCCCTTTAATTAATTAGCATAAGCCACTAGTTGATCATTAAGACAGTCAAATGATATTGGTGTGTTTTCTTAATTGACCATAACTTTTTTTTCAATTAGTTGTTAAACTTGTTATTGCTTTTCTTGTAATAGCATGTACTTTTTTTAATTTGAAATGACAGAGTTAGACAATTTCAAAATGCAAGAGGAGGGAGAAGAGAGTATTGTTCCCAAGACTAAATTATTGAAAAAAGGACGACGAGTAAGCATCCGCCATTAGCCTTATGTATTGATCAGATAAAGGGGTAGCCCGTAGGCAAAATTATTGCCGGTCTCTAATGTTATGCACCTAACCTATAATGGTGATAAATATTGAGTGTTCCCTAACATGGTATATCAAGAATATGTTGAAAATTACCTTTTCTGCGTCTCCTTCTATAAACTATATATCCTACACTGAGAACAAGTAATACACGGACGATTATGCAACAGATAATAATTATAATTGTAATGATTGGTAAGGCATTGGATGTCTTCTCAAAAGTTGATGTATCATTGGTAGAAGCACCGTCCTTTGTTGTTGTTATATTCGTTATCATTACAGGAAAGGTGAAGGCATTTATCTTATTTGCATCATCTGCCTTAAATTACATATTTATGAAAATGCTTTCAATCCCAGTTTGAAAGTATTTTTCATCCAAATTTCTTATTTCTTTACATAACAGATAACATATGATGATTGGAACGTCCCATCTTTGATGTCTTTAGTTTCTTTGGAGACAAATGACTTTGAAAACATTCTATTTTACCTAACATTTCATTAGTCTCTGTCTCCTCAATATGTTCTGTGTTTCCAGCTCGGTCATTTGTAAGACCAGAATCAGCGAGGAAGTTTGGATCTAGACCCATGAAATAAAAGAGACATGATTATTCAAGAAATAAACAACGTTTTTTTTTTTTTTCAGTGAATATGGCCTTATGAATAGCAATTGCTCTTCTGACATCTGATGCGCACTAGTATGTTCATGGAATCTGGTTATTACTTATATTTACATTCCGAGATGTTAAGAATGACAGAGGAAAGGCTCACTGTAATTTGTTACACGACAGCTTGTTATAATTGAAAAAAAATACAACTGATGGAAATAAATCAGCAGATTACTTTACCAATACATTTTAACTCTGTATGATCCACATATAATATTCAGAATATTTCTAAACACCAATTTGAAAAAAAACAACTGTTTACATTTCTTATATATATATATATATATATATATATATATATATATATATATATATATATATATATATATATATATATATATATATATATTGAACAGCATTCTCCATGCGAGAGTTTGACACAGCCTGTGCATATGCTAATATTGCGTTTAAGGAGGTATAAGTGCTGTAAGCACTGAGCTAAAAAAAATGATACCCCCCGTCTCCCATATGTTTATAAAAGCAAAGTGCATGTTTTTCTCTGGTAGATCCGAAAAAGTGTTCTATCAAAAAAGTGTTCTATGTTGTGAAATTTGAAACCCGAAATATGTGTCAGATCAAAAAGTAAAATATGAGGTTCACAATCTCCCTTTGTAAAGATTCTGTGAAAGCATCATTAAATTATATCAAGTGGTATAGGATTAGTTGCGGATAAGAAATGGGTCCCCTAAATATTTTTGAAAAATGTCAGTGTCTATATTTTGCTATTGGAAACCCGAAATATGTGTCCGATCAAAATGTAAAATAGCAGGTTCACAATGGCACTATAAAACAAAAATTTTGTGAAAATAGCATTAAACATTCAGTGGTATAAGAGGAGTTGCGGATAAGAGGATTGATGTGTACCACAAAACGTAACGGAAGGACGGACGTACAGCTAGACGGACGGACACCCCCATCACTACAACCCCCTCCCCCCCCCCCCCCGATTTTCAAGCGGTTGGTATAATAACAGAATATATGCAAATATAATTGCTTATGAAATATGAAAATATAGCTAAAATAATCGCAGGTACGATAAATCATAAAAATCAGTTAAACAATCTATAACTATTGTATTATTAATAATTGTATTACTGCTCTTACTTTTTCTGAATTATTTGCATTAAAATTAAAAGTTATTACCCCTATTTGATCTTCTCCCCCTCTTCCACCATATAAATACAGCAGATAATATAAAGATAAGTACAGCAGCACATACAGCCACTAGAATGAAAACTGTTGTGTTGTCACTTTCATTATCTTTGCTTGTCTCCGTGTCTTTCTTTAGGATTTCAAATCCACTTGTGTCATAATAGGTAGAGGTACTGTAGATGTAAGAAAAATAACTTGGAAACGAAATTTTGTAAATTTAATTCAATAATTCATCTCATAGCCCGCCTTTTTCTCCAATATAAGCTTTTACTGTTATTTTGAAAATATATATTTAAATCCCAGTTGCCTCCTCCCATCCCCATTTTTGTCGCTTTATGTCAAATTCTCCTATGTTAACGTATTTTAAATATTTCTTATTGAAAAAGTTGAAACCTACATCCCACCCCCCAACTCAGCTCTTTCCACGAAATAGGATTTCCTTGTTTGTCAAAGATTCTTCAGGTCAATTGCCATTGTTGCCTCCATTTAAAATCAATGTTACGTGCCTGTTTTTTTTCAAAATCATTAAGCAGTTAAACTCACATTGCTGGTTGAGACGCTGTTGATGTAGCATCACTAGTACTAAAACATCCAGGATCTGTAACATGAATTAATTTCAATAATTAAAATCGACAGTAAATGGTATGTATTATCGCATATTCATACATGTATCCATTTTCTAGTGAAAGAAAGTAACTTTTAATTAAATAATTTTACTAAACCGGATATGTAAGCAATTTTTCTTGTTGAAAGAATTTGATTACATGTATTTCAAGATAATGAGAAGATTAATTATGATTATTGTTTTGGTTTTAAGGATAAACACTGTGCACTCAATCAAATAAACCAGTAATTTACGTAAAGAGCGTTTAATAAAATCTTCTTTTTCTAATTTTTTTTTAAAGAATTACATGGAATTAGACTCTCTATTGGAATTCCTGGAAGCACATACAATAACTTCCGTATTACGAAAGCCCTGAAGGGACAAGTCGATTTCGCAAAAAAGTGAAAACTAATTTGAGATCTCGAATTACACAATCCGTTCCCACAGATTGTCAATTCGTTCCCTCGATTTATAATTCGAGATCTCGAATTACATAATTTGTACCCACGGATTACCTATTTGTTCTCTCGATTTATAATTCGAGATCTCGAATTAAATAATTCGTTTTCACAGATAACTAATTCGAGATCTTGATTGGTAATTCGAGATCTCGATTTGTAATTCGAGATCTCGAAATACACAATCCTTTCCCACAGAATACTAATTCGTTCTCTCAATTTGTAATTCGAGATCTCGAATTACACAATCCGTTCCCACTGATTTTCACTTTGGTCTACTGATTTAGACAATCCGTTTTCTCGGATTTCAATTACAATTTTGACTTTTACTCTCATTAAGCCAAGAACTCCTCATGTCTAAGTTATTAATTAAACGAATATTTGTCAAATAATATGCCCACGAAATGACTGGAGAAATTCAAATAATTCCTTATGGCAGGGTATTCCATGTAACTAAGTTCTTAATCACTGATATACAATGTAATGTTGTTTTGATCTAGAGAGCGGCATGAGAACTTTGCTTATAAAAGAAATTGATACGTACATACGTATACAGCATTTGACCAGAACGTTGCTGTTGGGCAGTTGTTCTGATGAGATTTACAATCATATACATCTATTCTCTGGGCTTTGGAATTATATTCAGGACACATTCCTAAAAGTTTAAGAGAAAAAAGTCGAAAGAATAATTGACTGTCTATCATGTTATTGAATATTTTATTACAGTGGAGGCGAATGCCATCCTGATTTTGATGAAAATGCACTGTTTGATTTGTGATTTGTTATCCAAAAGAGAGATTTAAAAATTTTAGGTTTAAAATAAAGTTTGAAATAACAAATGTTATATTTTACTTGCTCTTATCATTTCTGTCATACAAAAACAAAGGAAAACATTTCAAAAATGACGTTATTGTTCTTATAAATCGTGAAATACAGGATTTTCAATCTTTCTGCAATATTGACTTCTTTACAAGACATATTATTTATTGGCTAACCATTTTGAATCCAGACTCTTTCGAGACACTGTTGTGCAATGTTCCCACTTTCGTCTCTCAAACAGTGGTAGTAGTTTGGTTTCTTGCATTGTAAGGCCATGGATGATATGTTCCAGTCAGCTATGGTCATTGGACATTTCATTACAGCTTGAGTCACCATGTATTGCAACACTGCGAGTCTTATGATAATGTCCATTTTCTCGGGATTATGTGAAACAGATAAAAAAAACCCAACTAATTGCCTTTAGCCTTTTAAGTAAAAATATGAGTTCATTATATTCTAATCAAATCGCTGAATAAAGGTAGTATCAATGTTTTCTAATATTTCATGCATGCAACAAAGTACGGAAGCCGGTAGGTGCCAGGTAGAAAAATATTTTATCTGGCGGCCGCCAGAAACTTATCTGGCAGCCGGCAAATAATTTTCTGGCGGCCGCCAGATAAAAAAGATCTGGCGGCCGAACTTATCTGACGGCCGCCATAAAATTATTTGGCGGCCGCCAATTAACCTTCTGGCGGCCGCCAAAAATTTATATGGCGGCCGCCAAATATTTATCAGATAAAATATTTTTTCTCCCTGGCACCAACCGGCTTCCGTAACAAAGTGCATATCTGATTCAGAACTAATGGGTACGTATTGTTTAAGGAAACCGGTATCAATCAAATTAGATTTGACTGATAAGTATAAGGTTGATTTCCTTTTTATGAAAATGATTATACAGATCTTCTCAAATTAGAAATGCATACATTTGTCAATTTCTCGGAAAGTTAAGGGTTGGAGGCCGCTTACGTTAATCTTAAAAATCTATATAATGTACCTTAGTAGGGCATATGTTAAATTAACGCCTTTGGTCTTAAAATAGTACAATTACAGGGCATTGTTGGCACTAAAGGTTGCAAGAAGCAACAATAAAAATCCGAATTTAACTGTTATTCGTTTTTATAACTTTCGAAGAGATACCTCATAATAAGAGCGTGAAACAAAAGAAAACAGCTTATTCACAAATATAAACCTGTTTTGAATGTTATATAATTGTATTATTTGTCAGAAAAAAAGATCGTTTCCCGTAATAAAATATTTACGTTATGTAGACATTGTGCTTGTCAAAGTCTACTTTCGTTTTTGTGTAGAAGGCGTTATAGAAATATGGAAATATCGAACGTAATCAAGCTCCACTGAAACATTAAAATTCGGGAGCAGACTACTATATTGATTTAATCATTATTTCGCTGACAGAGAATGTCCCGAACTTACCTTTCATACACATGCATGTAACTGAAGAATAAAGCCAATTCCTTTAGTTCCCTTTTGTTTAGCTGAAAACATATTTTCGGGTGAAATGCTATCGCTTCGGATTCTTTGTCTCAACAATAAAAAAAAATCGCTGAGTTTTAAATGCGCATCGAGTGCACCGTATTGATTTTAAATAAGCAATATTTAAAAGTACGATCAAGGTAACCCAACTCTTGCAGGCTCGGATCCAGGAATTGAAGTTAGGGGGCGCGCAAAAAGAAGGCAGGGGGTCTGGGGACCTGAATTGTAGTGATTTTGTAGGGTAAAAACGAGGTCTACCGAGTAGACATTTTTACATTTTCTCGACGAAACTATGATTTTCGCTAACTTTGACAGTTTAGGGGGGGGCGCGTTGGGTGCCCCCCTCCCTTAAATCCGCCACTGTCTTGTCTAGTTAACGGTATATATTTATTGGAATTTTGAAATATCTAGTATACAAAACGAAGGAAGACAACGGAAATATTAAAAAAAAAAAGTTAGTTAACACATTTAATTCCCCCTTGCATTGGCCTCTCTTTGTCTTTAAAGATTATTCATTGTTCAAAGATAAGTATTTTATCCCATTTTCACAAATTTTACAATTTTTGAAGAGGCACCCTTGATTATCGAAACAATGCACCTAGTTTAACTTCTATATACACAGGGGAGAGAAGAAGATTTTTAAAGAATTTATGCACTTTCACTATACGATCAATAGAGCCCTGCCCTTATACAAGAACTTCTGACCCAGTGTCCAAGATGTTCATAATTAAGGAAGAGGAACCGTTCATCATAATTATGTACTTAGTACATCGGCTTAATGCCCAGGAGCAGAGGAGCAGATTTTCAAAGAATTAATGCATTTTCACTATACAATCAATAGAGCCCCGCCCTAACACCACAACCCCTAACCCACGGGCCATGAAATTCACAATTTTGAAAGAGACGCCCTTCCTCATCAAAACTATACATTTAGTTTGTTTGCTTAATACCCAGGAGCATAGATGAAGATTTTTAAAGAAATAATGCATTTTCACTATATATATATATATATATATATTCAAGCCCCGACCTAGCACCAGAACCCCTGACCCTGGGGCCATGAAGTTTATGATTTTGGTAGAAAGCTTAATGCTTATTACAATCATGCCAACAAGAACTACGCACGCTAACTCTCGATTCCCACCTACATTTTACACCCATTTAATTCAATACTAATGACACTTTGACCGTTAAATCTTTGTTGAATTCAAAGAACAGTTCAATGGTAATTGACTGATAATTTTAATGCCAGTGTTAAATAGGTCCAAGGGGGGCAGGGACCATGAAATTCAAAATATTTTTGTTCCCATATACCCATAGATGCTATATATGCCAAAATTGGTTGAAATTGGTTGAGCAGTTTCAGAGAAGAAGCTGAAAATGTTAAAATGTTCACGCGCATCGCACGACGCACGACGACGGACAAAAACAGATAGCAATAAATCACCTGAGTTTACTCACGTGTCCTAAAAAGATACCACCAGAAAAGCGAAAACATAAAAATAAAGGAAAATGGCGGATACTGCTTCAGTTCATTGAAAAGTGTTTTAAATTTATATATTTATCTTCGTTACTTTAATTTAAGCTTTATATTTTGAGAAGAACAACATATGTAATTCATTTTTAAACTATATGAAATAATCTGTGGGTATGTATTATCGTCAACATTAGAATTAAGTTATTAACAACAGAAAGACGCAAATGATATAAGACATAAGGAAATTATCAGTAAAGAAATTTTTAAGTTTTCGCTGCTCACAAGATGTTTTGCTCTTTAACTGACCTAATTCCAAACAAAAATATTCAAAGCAAACACACTTTTGCTAAAAGAATTTGAAACAAATTTTAATCTTTTTTTGTTCAGAACTTCGTAGTTCATTTAAATTTGTACAGCAGCGATGATTTATAAATATGGGTGCATGTATGCAATACAGCTTTTTAAATAAACCGCAAAATCATTCATTTTCGTGAGGACAAATTTTCATGGTTTTAGGAAAAAAAAAATATTGGTCCGAGGGGATTTGGTTTCATGGGTTCAGGAAAGACTTTATACTGCTAAATAGAATTTTAACATTTTGTGAGGACATGAATTCGTGGATCTCTCCATACCACGAAAACAATGAAAATTAACCCCCCACGAAAATTAGTGATTTTACAGTATTTTTAAGAATTCATTTCCAACATCAGCATACAAAATAATAAGAAAACACTTTATTGCATGGGTTCCTGTGCATTCTTACATGTAAGGCAATCCACAAAAAAGTAAGAACAAGTACGTATACGTAACAAGTCGTATTTTGACGAATTATAAAGACTATGAAGAATTTAACTCAAATTTTCTTGTCGTTTTTCCCTGTATTTTGGATGCATCAAACTCTTTTCGAACAAGCAAGGTCTGAATATATGTCAATCACAAGTACATAAAAACTGATGTACTGAGATGCATGTACATGTACATATATCCGAAACTGACAGGAATACAATTTTTAAACAGATTGTGAATAATTTAAGTTTCTCAACTCTATACAATCGCAGAGTGTGATAACTTTTACAGAACATAATGTTATATTTTTTTTTTAAATTTAAAAAAAAAAATAGGATTTTGTCTACATTTGTAATTTTAAAGCTTTTCTGAAAAAATCATATTCTAATAAATCGCTTTCATATCGTCTCCACTCATTTACACTGACAGATAAAACGAAATAACACTTAGGTGACAGTGTTATTTGTTTGTACATTTTTTCAAATTTCCCTGACAACATCCTCAAATCTGCTGCAGACTTGATGTAGCTGAAAGTATACGGAAATAAATATAAACTGATATCTTTATCCGGATCCCAGACACTCAGCGATCCAGAATATTGTGATTCTCCAAACCTTTCACTTGAATCTAGAGACTTCATCCTTAAGTCAATTTTAGGTTTATCGTCAGATATGAAAATTATCGCGCCATTCTCTTCTAGTTTATCTGCATCTGTAGAGTGTTGATCATCATTTCTTATCATTTCATCTAGAATTAAAAGAAAATTTAAAATATGAAGATAACCAGTGATCGATCTCCAGAAATCCACAAACAATACAAATCTGTGAACAGGACATAAAACACGAATTCTTGGAAATTCCAATACGTTGGGTCAGGTGCCTAGGAGGGGTAAGTATCCCCCTGGTGACCGGTCACAATTACTCTATATCAGTCTAATTTATCTTAAAGGTTTAAATTACATACAGATTTATCATAATATCACAACAGCAAAATAAATTTCACAAAAATGCAGCTCGTATTGCTTTAACCGTCGTTTACTTTAGTATATGCTTTCATACTTTGATTTATAATGAAGCTTTACTATAGAACTTTCAATTGAAATAAAGAGTTTTACTGTGTCTTAAATTCTATTCCAATGATATATTTTTTTATGTAGTTTGTGAAAATACAAGTTACTTCTTTGTTTTAATTTCGAAAATTTGCATTAAAAAAATTAGGAAAAAATGAAATATAAGAATTTAAACTTAGGAGTAAAATACTTTAATTTACAGTAGTAAAAACTTTGATTCTCTATAGTACGACAGTTTTGAGAAACAACAATGGCAATAATTAAAGATGGATCGGTCATAAAAAAGCTTTGAGAAAAAGACTCAAGAAGAAAGTAAGTCGGTTATGTTCTAAACTATTCTTAAAAAAAGGTTTAAGAAATATGTCTTTAATGAATAGAGATAGTATTGTGAGCAATGGTCCTGTTACGGTTCCCTATTTATTCCCACTACTATGGGAAACACTTCTGTGGAAATATACAGTACAAGTTAAACAATACTCCCTGTAACATATTGGACTATAAAACGACGAATAATATGTTTTATTAATTGTATGTTTATTTCATCATCAATTGTATATTTACCAAGTT